TGCACAAGGAGAAAGCAAGGGAAGGGACACCTTCCCTCCCTATTCATTTTGCTTGAAAATGAAATTAACAAATTTAAAAAGCATTTTATCGAGATCTCAGCTTATTTACTGTACCAACCATACCGACAGAGAAAAAATTCTCCTCGATTTTGAATTTGCCTTCACTACCTGCTAGATTATTTTATGTAAGAATTAAATTTGAAAACCCTTGAAGCCACTATTATCCTTCTCTTGCGCGCCTTTTAGAGCTAACAATTAACAGAAACATATCGAAACACATAGAATCAGATTGCAGATATTAAAAGTTGAAAAGAAAATGGTGAATTTATATAATAAATAGAGGAAGTACTTTCTGAGGAGTTGATATGACATCAAGCAACACGGCCACAGTAGATATTTTGAGATACAGAGGAGGTTATCCTGGATGATTATCAGTAGAAAAGAGGCAACGATTGAACTCATAAAGTAAGCGAACAGAATGTTTGATAGCGATCCAAATCCTATTGCGAATTTCTACTCAGGGCAGGCGATTAACAGTCCTTCCGCTGAGATGGGTAGCTTTCCCAGAAGATCAGCGCCACTCTCTTCTCAGCGCTTATGTTCCTAAGACTGATTTGGATACCCTGGCAGAAGTATTGCACCACCACAGAAATTGTCGGCTTGTTAAGTGGAAAAAACTTTTGACGAAGCTTCAGTACTTCTGGTAAAACAAAACTATTGTATCCATAGGTAAAATAATGATTTCCATGTTTGCTCTTATGCCCTGCGCGAAACAATATGAATCAGTTTTCCGTTACACAATTCATGACTCACATTATGAAGAGATTCGCAACTATTTAGGCTGCGTGAGGTGCTCAGGGGAGCTCTTAATTTTAATTTCGAGAAGAGAAGTGCGTTGAAACGTCGGGCCTCATTGACAAGGAAATTGAAAAACCTACTATTTGAAGTACTTAAAACTGCATATTATTGTTAATAACCCCATGTCGCGATCTAAATAGTTACTCAAAACTTTGATCTTATTGAGGTCTTTGAAACGGCAGTTTTGAAAATTTCCTTTCGGTGTTCAACTTTCGTC